TCGCAAAGGTGTGTGTATGCGTATGTGTATGTGCGTACATGCGTGTGTGTGGTGTGAATGCGTGTATGTGTGTGTGTGTGTGTGTGTGTGTGTGTGTGTGTGTGTGTGTGTGTGTGTGTGTGTGTGTGTGTGTGTGTGTGTGTGTGTGTGTGTGTGTGTGTACACCACATCCATGGGTGCCAGCTAATAATCGTCTCACGCGTGCTCATGTCGCTGTTGCAGCACTCCGTTCTTCTCGAACAGGCCGCCCTCTCCCTCGCAGACATTGAGCGAACAAACGAGTCAGTCCACCAGCGCGCGTGCGTGTGCGTGTGCGCGTGTGCGTGCATTTACTTCATGTGTATGTGCGTGCATTCATAATGCAAGTATGTACGATGAGCGTCTTGTCTCATTACACCCCCGCCCCTGCGTTCCTGTGCGTCTTGTCCAACCCGTTCGCAGGTGGGATGAGCTGAGTGCGTATGTGCAGCGCGTGAATCTGCATGAGAGCGCACCTGGAGACGAGGTCGAACGCATCAGGCAGCACATCGAGCCAAAGGTCGTGGCATGTTGCTTGCAGGCATGCACACGCGCCATGTGCTGGCTCACGAGTGTTCGAAGCATGAAGGTGTTGGTCCGGTGGTTTGAAACACGCTTCTTCCCAACAAGCAATGTCCTCACAACCATCACCGTCCGCTACTGTTGTGTGTGTGCTTGTATGTATGTATGTATGTATGTATGTATGTATGTATGTATGTATGTATGTATGTATGTATGTATGTATGTATGTATGTATGTATGTATGTATGTATGTATGTATGTGTGTGTGTGCGTGTGTAGACGGCGCTGTTTCGTCAGGGCATTCCCGAGGAGCACCGCGTCACCATGTGGAAATTCCTTGTCCGCCTCAGAACACATCCCACCCGCAAGGTAGGTGTGGGGGGGGGTTCCGGGTGTGTGTGTGTGTGTGTGTGTGTGTGTGTGTGTGTGTGTGTGTGTGTGTGTGTGTGTGTGTGTGTGTGTGTGTTGGTTGACTATTTCCAGGTTCCACCTGTCATCAGCACATCATGTCACCTCCTCATCTCGTTCTCATGCACACATGCCAGTTCAAAAAGCCCGGCTACTACAAGCGCATGCTCGAGTACAAGGGAACAACGCAGACACCGCTGCCGGAAGCAAGCCAGATTGAGGTTGACCTTCGACGCACATTTCCAAACAACATCCATTTCCAGGTCCGTGTGCTGTGCTGTCTGTCTGTCTGTGTGTGTGTGTGTGTGTGTGGACACGTTGGTGTCTGTGGCATTAGATCACTGTGGAAACGAAACCACCGCGCGGCACTGAACACCGGACCAATAATCCCGCATACTCGCACCCATCTCACCGTCGCACACGCGTGTGGGTGCAGAACAAAGATCAGCCACTGATGATGGCGCTGAATCGAATCCTGCGGGCGTTTGGATGGCACAACCGCCGCATCGGCTACTGCCAGGTTGGTGGTTGACGTGGTGGTTGATGCACTGATGATGTTTTTGGGTTTGGTGCTATCTCTGCTCTTCGCAGCCTGCCTGTCTATCGCGCTCGCTCTTCTACCAGCTCACACTTCCACCGCTGTCACCGCCATGCAGGGGCTCGGGCTGATTGCCGGGTATGCGCTGCTGGTGCTGGAGGAGGAGGACGCGTTCTGGGCGCTGACGACGATTGTGGAGGACATTATGACGTGGGAATACTACTCTAGCCAACTCCGCGAAACGCAGATCGACATGGCCATCCTAGACGGTACCCAGCCGATGCAAAGCCGGGGAGGGATGAAGTGGGGAGTTGTGCATGGCACCGTGCTTCCGCTGCTGTGCTGCGATTATTGTTGCGATGGTGCTGTGATGGTGCTCACCACCGCCGCCTCATTCCATGACTTCCATTGCTCGTGTTCTGTTGACGGTTCGCATTCCTTCTGTTAGATCTGATGGAACATTACCTGCCGGACCTCCACAAACACTTCCACAACGTCAACATGGACACCACCTGCTACGTCAAGTGGTGTGTGTGTGTGTGTTGTGTATGTGTGTGTGTGTGTGTGTGTGTGTGTCTGTGTGTGTCTGTGTGTGTGTGTCTGTGTGTGTGTGTGTGTGATGGGTAGTTGCATGCGAGGGACCATTGTGCATCAACTTGTGTGCGGAAGCGGGCGTGCGTTTCTGTTGGCTCTGTGTTCACTGCCCTGCATCCATTGTATTAAACGCATTTTCCTCCGCACATTATGCAACACGTTGTGCGCAGGTTTGTGCCGGCGTTTGTTGATGTGTTCCCGCCCTTTATCACTTTCCTCATCTGGGACGCCTTCTTGCTCGAGGGCCGCGAGGTCAGACACTTGCCCGTCGTCTGCTTGCAGTGTTCGCGATGTGCGTCTGTGTGTGTCTGCGTGTGCGTGCGTGCTTGTTTGTGATGTGTGTGTGTGTGTGTGTGTCTGTGTGTGCGTGCGTGCTTGTTTGTGATGTGTGTGTGTATGTGTGTGTGTGTGTGTGTGTTGCTCCACTGTTTTTGCTTCCGTTCTTTCCTGTCGTTTGTTCTGGCTCTTCGTCTTTGTCTCACGCTGACGTGTCCGTGTGCGCAGATTCTGTTCCGGTTTGCGCTGGCCATCTTCAAGTACCACTACGACAGTCTGATGAGCGTGCGTACATCACCACCGCCACCACCGCCACCACCGCCACCGTCATGGGGGGGGGGG